TTCCCGGTTATTTGCCGCGCGAACAAAGACAGTTGGAGTTACGTGACGGTATGTGTAGGACAGTTAGCTGATAGCTGTACTTGGCTTAACACTTGTTCTACAGAATAGAAAAAGAAGAAGAGCTCGCTCGGAATGGTGTAAACGTCGGTTATTGAAAAGAAAGCAGTTCTCTCACGTAACTTTGTTAAATGAATTGAGATTTACACCAACAGATTACAAAAATTATTCACGAATGGATGAAAATCTTTATTTGAAACTGTTATGAGAAATGCAATATCAGCACATAAGAGACTAGCAGCAACATTAAGATTTCTTGGTACAGGAAGAACATACGAGTGTCTTAAAGTGTCATACGTGTGCGATGGTGCGCGCACACAACCTTCCACCGTCGTAGACAATAAACTGAGAAGTCTGAAAACTGTGCTTGCAAGCTCGCCGGACGCCACACATGCCTGGATATGCATGCGCGCAAACGTAACCGAGCGGCAGAAAATATCAATTTTGATATTTGCTTGGTTGCATGTAGATGCGCCGATAACTGTACAGCTTTATCATATACACGCTAGGGTTTGCTTGTCGGTTATGCATGTAAGGCTAAAACCATCAAGTAAACCCTATGGTGTATAGCCTCCATTAAGTGTTGTGAAGTGTTTTAAAACGTGGATGACACCCACGTACGGTAGACTTTAGAATTGAGTAATTTAAGAAAGGGAACTAATAATTTAAGATGAAGGTTTCAACGGTGTAGTGTTATTGAAGAAAGAGAAATAAGAAAATTAGAATATACAAGAAACTTTAATATTTATAAAGGAAAATTAGAAGAAACAAAAATAGAAAAATGGAGAGTATTCTGTTCAGAATGGGGAACCAAGATCCTTGGGGTTTACCCTATCAAGTCGTCAGAGGTAAAAGATCTACAACTAAAAATAGGTATTTCAGCAGTTAGGAAGAACGATGGTGTTTTTACTTCTAATTTGGAGGAAACTTCTATGGAATTTTTGATTAATTTTTTTCCTAGGGATAATGAAAATAATTATCATTATTTCATTAGGAATAGATATAAACTATACAGGGTAATTCAAATTCGACCCCCACCATTGGGATCTCAGAAACCATAAGAGATACAGAAATGGTTAAATGGGGGCAAAGTTGCGTATCTTAGAGCTCATCATTTTTCAACTAAGTTTTTGGATCTAATCGTTTTAGTTCTTAAAATATGGCTGAAAAACAAAAGAATAACTTTTTCGTTTTTTGCCTATAACTTCTTTATTTTTCGTAACTTTTTATGAAAAATGTCAAGACACAAGTAGAAATTGTCTCCAACGTTTCGTTTTCGCGAAACTATCATCAGGTATATTTTGTCTTATTAACGCCATATTTGATTTTCACACCAAAAAAAATAGGATAATTAATTGTGATTTCAATGATATGTCGCACAATATATTTCATTAAAAAAAACATTGAATTATTCAAAAAAAAAACGAATATCTTATTAGGAGGCGGTAACTTGTGCGTTAAGTATTTCCCTTTCATTTCTAGTTGTGTCATATTTTTCTAAAAAAGTTGCCTTAAGAATGTTTTTTCACATTCACGAAAAATAAAGTAGTTATCGGCAAAAAGAGAAAAAGTAATTTTTTTGTTTTTCGGCCATATTTTAAAAACTAAACGGCTAGATACAAAAACTTAGTTGAAAAATGATGAGCTCTAAGATATGCAACTTTGCCCCATTTAACCGTTTCTGTATGGTTTTTGAAATCCTAATGGGGGGGGAGAGGTCGAATTTCCGGGTCGGATTTTCATCTCAAGGAAATTAGAAGATCAATAATTTCTATAGATAAGAAAAAGGCACCAGGTTTAGATGGTATTACTGCTGATATGTTGAAGAATGTATATAATCATGATCCTGATTTAATAAGTTTATTATTTATAATAAACACATTTAGGTGTTTTTCCTAATTGCTGGAAGAAGCAGCTGGTTAAATTTATTCCAAAGCCAGGTAAAAATGATACTAGTGATGTAAAAACTTATCCACCTATAAGTCCTGTTATAGGTAAAACACTAGATAGTTTAATTATAAATCGTATTGAACGTCATTTGAGGGTTCAAAATAAATTATGTGATAGGCAATTTGGTTTTGTTAAGGGGAAAAATACGATTGATGCTCTAAATTATGTGATTAATCTTATTGAAACTTCTAAAAATGATAATTTTTATTGTTTAGTAATTTTATTAGATATCTCTGGGGCTTTTTACCATGCGTGGCCTTTAATTTTAGATCAATTAGCTAGGAAAAATTGTCCTAAAAATTTATTTAATACTGCTAAATCATATTTTTCAGAAAGGGAAGCTATTATTGTTGAGCCTGGTATAAATATTAATTATAAGATAGATCGAGATTGTTCACAGTGGTCAAGATCTGGTCCGGGTTATTAGAATATTATGTATGAGTCAATTTTCGATATTAAATTTCCGGTAGGTTGCCAAGTTGTCTCTTTCGCCGACGATGCTACACTTTAGATTAAGAGCAAACAATATAAAAATATTTCAAAATTAGCGAATATCACTTTAGTAACATTAAATATTTGTAGTAATAAAGTAGTTGTAGCAGCTAAAATTTCGTGGGGTTTAAATGGTAAAGCAGCGTCAGTTATTTATAAAGGTGTTGTTGAGCCCTGTATGTTTTATGCTGCGTCAATTTGGGAGGGTAAAATTAAAGATGTTAAAAGTCGGAATAAATTAGTTAGTAAATTCCAAGGATTAAAGTATAATATTGCACTTTTACTGGTTTAATAATGTTAATATATTTAAAAAATAATAATTTCTATCTTACATGTTTCGCCCGTTCCATGCGGGCATCATCAGAACTACAAATTTTTTTTTTATTTTCTCATTAGATCAATCAGAATAAATGTTATAATAAGTGTTATTTAATTATAAAAAATAAAAGAATCAAAAAATAAACTTAAATAAATACTTACATTGAAACTTATTCACTTATAAGTTCAAATATTCAAATTCAAATATTTTTGTAACAAACTATTATAAAAATCCTTGATTCTACATTATGTGGTAGCTTTAAACTTCTTTGATTCACGTACACAATAAGAAATTAAGTTGTATTTAAAACAAATTAAAAAACATTAACAAAATACGTCTTATTAAAAGGAGATTTTAAGTCGAAATGTGTTTTCAGAACCAGAAATGTGTTTCTCAAAAATGTGTTTCTTATATTAAAAGATCCAAAAATAACTCAAAAGAAATAACGTATATAAAGAAAAATAAATTAAATGCGTGGACAAATTTATCAATAAAACAAAACTTAGAATGTCAATATTAATCAACTCACATAGGTTAAAAATATCAAAAATTATTATCTCAACCATTAAAAATTAAAAAGAATTACTAAAATTAATAGAATGCCTAACTATGAATTAACAAAATGAAGATAAATAAAATTAAGATGCTTAAGAAATAGAAATAGAATGGCATAGGATTAGCCTCTGGGAACCCAATATCAATAAATGAGGCTGGTTATAGAAGTCCTCGGTATATTGGGGAATGGATTAGAAAGGGATTTATAAATCGGATTGAATGATCAGGTCTGCTACTTTAACAAAGAACAATCTAACAAACAAGGAAAACTCATGTTTTGTATAAAGGAATCAAGAATAAAGATAGTGTTGAAAATTATTTTGAAAAAATTAAATTAGGTGTGTTGTGTGACAATTATCATGCTGAATTATTGGCAATTAATAGTGCAGTTAAATATGTTATTAAAGAATAGATAGGAAAATGTGAAATATATAGTGATAGTATTTCAGTTTTGAAAGGCCATAACAACATGAGAAAACCATCTATTTCGCAAAGAAATACTTGGAATTTGATTGAAGAATCAGGTAGCAGCATAGATTTCTTTTCATTATTAAGGGTAACTCTGAAATCAGGGGTAATGAAAGAGCAGATCAGTTAGCTAAAGAAGCTTCGATCTGCGAAGATTTCCATATTGATTTTAATGTAATTTCTAAAAGATCTGTGAAAAAATAAGATTATGAAATTTATGTTGAAAGAATGGCAAGATAGATGGGATAACTCAGTGACTGGAAGGTTAACATATCAGTTTATGCCAAGAGTTGGTAGGGTTAGTAGATTTTTAAAACCAGAAACTGTAGAGTTAATTACTAGTCATGGCAATTTTGAGGAGTATTTAAATAGAATTGGTAAATTTGAATCGCCGTTGTGTACGTGTGTTTAGATTAGAAAACGAAGTTGCTTAAAGGTGTGATTTTTCCTAAAACGTAGGAAGAAATTAAAAATATAGATAAGTGCGATGAGTGGTAGTCAGCTTTTAATAATTTTGCTAAAATTTTTATAGATAAAAATAAAATAAAAGTTTTTAAAATTGAAATAATTAAATATAAATAAAAATTAAAAAAAAAAAACAAAAATATTAATCTATTAGTAGTTGCTATTTTTAGTTATTGAGTACTTTTATAAGCGTGCATAGCATTATTATTTTTTTTATTGAGTATTTGTAGTAGCTTCAAAATCACGCTTATGGGAGGGAAAGGGGAGGTTGTGGAAAGTCGTTGGTAAATAAAAGAAAGTTCTTTATCAACTAATCAATTAGATTGTATTATATATTATTATTATTATATATGATTATTATATAAATAATAGTATAATTTTTTTTGTAAATATATAGCTGTAGTACCTTTAGAGGGAACACCTTAAGATTTATTTTATTAAAATTTATCTTTCAATAATATAGAGTGTCGCCTTCATCCGATTGTCGGTGTGAAGCCGTCAGGGTTCACGCGATAATTGAAATTAATATGACGCAACAATAAAAGTCATTCGCTAAAGAAAATACTGAAAGAACAGTGTGTTAGTACTTATTACTTATTTTCGGTAATGTACATGTTAGTCTACTCATCTACTTTTTTTCCGTATAATAAAATACATTTGCAAGTGTTTCAAACTGTTTTTACACGTACTGGCGAAAGTGGAATGTTCCCAAGTGCAAGCATTGTTTCTGAAAAACAGCAAGGGCTCAGTTTGGAACATGAAGAAAATATTCTGGATGTTGTAGAAAATAATCCAGGGATAAGTACAAGGCGCATGGCAATACAATTTGAAATTCCACAAACAATGGTTTGGAAAACATTAAAGCGGCAAGGCTTAAACGCTTTTCATTTGCAGAAAGTACAAAATCTCCAAGAAGGCGATTATCCATTAAGACTACAATTTTGTCAATGGATTCGTGAAAACAGAAGATTACTTAAATGCATATTATTTTCTGATGAAGCTCAATTTACTCGAGATGGAATTAACAATTACCATAATAATCATCGATGGTCGGACGAAAATCCCCATGCCACGCAAGAACACAATTTCCAACATCGGTTTAGTATTAATGTATGGTGCGGCATTCTAAATGATCAGTTGTTTGGTCCTTTTGTGTTGGATGGCCGTCTTACTGGGGAAGGTTATTTACATTTTTTGGAAGACCATTTAGAGGAAATATTGGACGATGTACCTTTGAATATTCGACAACGTATGATCTTCCAACATGATGGAGCACCCCCTCATTATTCAAATAATGAGAGGAATTTTCTAAATACGCATTTCGGCGATCGCTGGATTGGCAGAGGAGGCCCGCACCCTTGGCCACCGACATCACCGGACCTCACTCGCCTAGATTTTTGTCTTTGGGGATGGATGAAGTCCTTAGTTTATGCTAGGAAAGTGGACACAAGGGATGCGCTACTAGATCGTATTCTTAACGCTGCGGCGTTCATTAGAGCGAATCATCGTTCACTGAAACTGGCTACCAGGTCCATTTATAAACGCGCAAATAAGTGTATCGAAGTGGGTGGTGGAGTTTTCGAAAATTTAATGTGAATTAATGCTACTTGTTTTTTTGGTTTGTTAGTTTAGTAATAAATTTTGCTTTAATTTTGAAATTATTATTGTTCAAAATATCTCAAACAAATGAAAATCGGATTTGAACATATGGGCTTATTTTGCTTAGTTTAGCTTCATAAACATGTCCTTAAAATCTTTCCATTTCCTCCCGAATCACCCTGTATATGTATATAAAACACACAATTAACACGTTTTCATTTATATTTTACACTCTATTTCACCGCAAAATATTTTACATATATATGTCACACTATTCTCATCACGACTGATTCTACCTTACTTCGCGTTCGATCGTTCGTATTTTGTTTATTCTCGGCGCTTCATGAGCGCGATTGGTCGCCAATCGTCCACGGAGTCCGGGTCATCGGTCTTTGGTAACATCATCGTTGTGTGAGCTTTTGCGGTAGCCACCTGCAGTAAAGCAGTGCGTTGAACAGCAGGATCAGCTTATTCTGGTGAACGGCCCTAACGTCCGCCATGCGCACCCCGTCTGGCCCTGCATTCTCCGATTTGCCTTGACGAATAGCAGCTGCAACGTCCCCCACCGTGATGGGAGCGTACATAGTGTCTGAACCTCGCGCGACCTTCACTTTGAACTTCTCCTCGTCCACCGGCAACTTGGGTACCCAAAGACTGCCATAGGCCCTTTGCACTCTACCCACGTCGGTGTGTCGCTTTTGCTCGGAGATGAGGGGTTTCCCGGAGAGGATCAAAAGCAGGCAAGGAGCCTACGATCTCTATTAAACACATTCTGGGCGGCTCGATACTCGGCCGCCCGCTTGTTCTTCCCTTTAGTTGGCTGGTTACCCTTTTTCCGGCCAGGCCTGGACGTGGATGTTTTGGGAACCCCTCTATTGACGGCCCTAGAAGCCTTTGTGCGACATCCCCTTAATGAGAACAGTGGTGTAAGTTTGTAGTGCTTTACGCGCCTTCGCTCCACTGAGCTGGCAGTCTAACAGGGAACGACCTTCGTCACCGACTTGCTCGGATAGGTTCTCCGCAAAGTGTTGGCGCAGGAACGCCAAAACCGGATAGTTTGGGGCTTCAGGGATTGCGCTGGCTTCCGAAGTTAAAGCATTATCCCCTGTGTTCAACCCGTGGTTCGATCTTTCAGCAAAACCCCGGAGCAGGTTAGAAAGCTTTTATTTTTTTATTAAATTCGATAAAATACTTCTTTAATGAAAAACATTCTTTTGAAGAACAACCATGCTTAATATCTCCAGATACTTTATTCCCCAATAGCGGCATCCACTAGCAATAAAAACAAACATTATTAAATGAAAATTCGTTACTAACACTAATAACAATCCACTAAAATTATACGTTTAAAAGACGCATAGATATATTAAAAATGTCCACATGACAGTGACAGTCGTGCGCATTCATTATCTGGACTAAAGGAGAGTTAAGATGAATATTCGAAGATGAACGACCAATCCCAAACTATAATCCTCCAAGCGTTTGATAAGGAGGGACATATAAACATAGTTCACTCACTAAATTCGAAGCATCTAAGAAGTTGTTGACCAATTTATACAAAAAAAAATAATCAGAGCTCAGTCGCCGCTGATGCAGTGTATGGAATCCTAGTACTCTACAACGTTGAGAGTAATCACAGTAAGGTAAAAACATACTGAGGGTTCCACACCGTCGACGCGTACCCTAGGACACTACCGACAAAGGTCATGTAAAGCGATTTAATGCATCGAATATTCGTGAACAGACGACATACCCTAATCACAAAACCCAATCTCTTCAAAGCCCAAGGTGTTATGCCTTGTCAAGCATAACACCAAGATCGTTAATGTGGTCACACGAAACGAGTGCAGCAGTTCCCAAACGGTAAGTATGGTTCAGTGGGTAACGTTTACGCGTAAATGTGATTGTAGAACACTTATTGTAATTGAGAAAAGGCGCTATATTAGACGTCACATAATCAGCTCCTGATCCTGAATATCATTTAATCGAACATTAACGATAGAAAATTCGACCGCCGGATGGTGTATCAACAAGTGGATCTCGGCAAGATACAATTTCACGCACAGAATCACTGCTACATAAGATCATGGGCAAACTCAGACTCAGCCTGCCGCCACGAGATTGAGTCTCGTAATGAGACCAATTTTTATAAAAACATAACTAGGGGATCAATTTCTCCAGGCGGCAAATATACACAGCACACGAGAAAACGACCAATCGCGCACTTAACATCCACCCACAAATCCTCAGCCTCCGAGCACAATTCAGGGACCAAAGATGCCTGAAAATTATCTCTCACACCGATAAGAACACTACCTCCATCAATCTTCACAGATGCCGATGAGCTTCTATCGCGGCGGAAAATGTTATAACCAGAGCAGAAAAATTCCGCGTCCGAGATCGAAGAGATTAAGTAGATCTCTGTGAGGCATACAACATCATGGGTCCAAGGATCGACGAATTAATTAGTGAAGCGGTGGTCTTAGTTCGCAAACCATTAACATTTTGATAGTACACTGAGATAGCCATGATGGGACAAAATACACGAATAAATTAAACACTCATGAACACGTTTTAACTATTTTTTACAATTATAAATGCTTATAAAATCTTAACAGTCGATTTTTTATTTCGCAAAAATTAAGGACAATGTAATTGACTGACAATTCGTTTGACGATGGTGGTAACTTAAGAGACTATATATTATTGTAAGATGAAATTTAAATAGAATAAATCTTAAGGTGCTCCACCTAAAGGTACTACACCTATATATTTACTAAAAATAAAATTCATTCTGTAAAAATTTTATCTAATTGAGTGATTGATAAATACAATTTACCAACGACTTTCTCAACCTCCCCTTTCCCTCCCATAAGCGTTGATTTTGAAGCAACTACAATTACTTAATAAAAAAATTACAAAACTATGAACGCTTATAAATATACTAAATAACTAAATAGCAATTACTAATGAATTAATATTTTTGTTTTTTTTTTATTTTTTAATTAATTATTCCAATTTTAAAACTTTAAGTTTAGTTTATTTTTTATCTATAAAACTTTTAGCACACGTACATTGATTATCGATACGTTGATTTCACCACTATTTAAATACTCCTCAAAATTGCCATGACCAGTAATTAACTCTACAGTTTCGGGTTTTAAAAATCTACCAACCCTACCAATTCGTGGCATAAACTGATAAGTCAATTATCCCATCTAACTTACCGTTTTTCCAACATAAAATTCCTAATTCTATTTTTAACAGATCTTTTAGAAATCATATTGAAATCAATTTGTAAATCTTCACAGATCGAAGCTTCTTTAGGGTGTGTTTACGTTGGAGCTGCGATAAACGATAATAGCGACGATACTACCAAAACAAGGAAATTGTTGTCATAGTTTTATATGCAGGTGTTTATATTGGAACGAGAGCTGCGATAAACGATAAGAGCAACAATGAGAGCAGCGATAAGAGCTGCGCAAAATGAATTGAAAATGATTTGTCAGAACAAATCTGTTGTGGTAATTTTTATCTTTTTGGTCCCACTAGGGGGATCTAACAAAAATTTCACTAATTAAACAGTCGATATCCATGCCGACCTTACCTGATAATAGCAAAGAAAATAAGGAATACAATTAGCGTCGCTCTTATCGTTAGTCGGCTGTCAAGCGTGTGACAACGCGTCGTTCCAATATAAACACCTGCATATAAAACTATGACAACAATTTCGTTAGCCAATTGATCCGCTCTTTCATTACCTCTAATTCCAGAATGACCCTTAATCCAAAAGAAATCTATGTTGCCACCTGAATCTTTAATCAAGTTCCAAGTATTCCTTTGTAAAATAAATGGTTTTCTCACAACATATTTCACATTTACCAATCTTTTCTTTAATAACATATTTAATTGCACGATTCATTGCCAATAACTCGGCATGGTAATTATCACACGGCACACCTAATTTAATTTTTTCAAAGTAAATTTCAACACCATCACAAAAAACAACAAACGCAGCACCAACACTATCTTTACTCTTTGCACCATCCGTCAAAATTTGGATTCCGCTTCGCAGGATGTATCTCCGTTAAATATAATATAATATAATAATAGTTTATTCTTCAACAATGCATATATACAAAAACTGTATTAATGCTAATTAAACTTAAAAAAAACAAAAGAAAAACAATAATAATAACTGTTGAAGAATCATAAGGTCGCGGATTCAGTGCATGTCCAAAAGACCATTACTGTTCTTCCACCGCAGCCTTAAATTAAAAAAAAAGCTATCAAAACAGGCCAGTAAATGCCTAAAAAGAACTTAAAGCTAAAATTCCGTATTATCCCTAAATTACCGATCTTAAAGAATCAAAATTTAAACCAATGCTATCAAACAACATACCATAAAATTTAGTAACCTTCCGAGATGTTCCTCAAAATAAAATAAATAAGTAACCGTAGATCCTGATCATTTAAGTTATACAAATTTTGCCAAAGTGCAATTTTTTTGAATCTTAAACCTGCTGGTAAAAGCCCTGATAAAACACCAAAAGCATCATTCGACACTAAATGCCCTGGCAGCTTTCAAACCTAACACTCTCTTCAGACACTAATTAATTTGTTCCTACTTTTAATATCTTCTGCTTTGCCATTTAACCCGCATGAAATTTTAGCTGCAGCACCTATCTTATTCGAAATTTCTCTACCCTTTTTCGTAGCAAAATCTAAATGATATTTAAAATTTAATTTAGTATTGTGTTTGATAAAGATTGAAAAGAAAGTTTTTGTTAAATAATCGTTTTGAATATATTACTTCAATTAAATAACTCTGGGTTTAAAATTATAAAACAAAGATTATTCACTTGAACCGTTTTAAAAAATTAAATTAAATGAAAAACAAAATAAAAAATCCAATTCTGACAATAAATGCAACAATTTAAGAGATGCACATTGCACAATAAATTTAAATAATAACAACTTTAAGCGAAAAGATAACG